TCTCTACAGCATGCTGGCAGGGTACAGGCATTTCTGCTCAGTTTGTGGCATTCAGCTTTCTAAAAAAACTTGTAAGACTTTGAACACTTTTTGTTTTTTGGCTTCCCCTGGAATATATGTAGCTGATTTTAACTATAAATTTGGCTGAGCTTTAATTGCCTTTAAAAGATTATACTCTGTATAGCATTAACTAAGTAGGAAAGTGACACTTAAAGAGTATTGGCTATTATTTTTATTTGGGAGCCAGAGGTCTGAACCATTTATTTCTTTCTGGCTGACACTTGTCACTATGATCCCTTAAATTCCCCCAAAGCATTTCCCCTAGATTCCCGAAGGGCAGCCATGATGTCGAAGCCCATACAGTGATCGATGAGATGCAATGCATCATGTGATGGATAACTGTGTAAGCATAGTACTTAATCCTTCTCCTTGTAATAGCTGAATTATCATCTAGATTTATGAGAATGTCACTTTCATCTTCTAAGCACCATTCATGTTGTTTTTTTTTTTACTTTCCCTGCAAAAAAAAAAAAAAAAAAAATGCATCAATCCCATTAATTCTAATTATCATGGTTCATCTTCTCTGCAGTTCTGCTCCCCGGAACCTTTCAGTGCAAATTAACGTACCAAAAAAAGTGTATTAATTAATATTTGTAGCTTTTAATTTTTGTGCAAGTGTGTGTTTGTGTGCGGCAGCAGCTGGTGGTACAGGACGTCAATGTTGAATCTTTGCCAGAAAAGGGCAGATGCAATTTTGTTATCTCTTGCTTAGTCATTTACGCATATTAATTTCAACAATTAGCCTTTTACTGGTCCTTCATGAATCATGCAAGAGGGATCTGCAGAAAAGAAGAGGAAGAAAGTTCCATGACAGGAAACAATCGGTTAATACTGTAATGGAGAAGGAAGTGGGATTTACATGTAATTAATCAATTAATGTTCCGCAAGGCCAGAAATAATAGAGCGATAGCGGGATTTATGGGTAATATTCATTGGAAGGCGTCCTACTGTAGAACTGTATCTATACTTATATGATCGACCTATATAAATAAGTGAGAAAACATGAAAAGGAAAGAACGAAAAATAACTAAGTTAAAATGGAAGGTAAGAATAAAGCTAAATAAGTAAGATAAAAAAGAATCTAATCTGGTAATAATTATTGGAAGAGCACTATAAACTATATCATTAGTATATTAACAATCTATCTATTTATATCTGTGTCTATCTATCTATCTATCTATCTATCTATCTATCTATCTATCTATCTATCTATCTATCTATCTATCTATCTATCTACCCATCTATTTATCTCATTATTTGATTTAACCACTAGCCTACAGCCTATACCCCTATACCCCCTTCCTGCCCAGTCCAATTTCCAGCTTTCAGCGCTGTCACTCTTTGAATGACAATTGCGCGGTCATGCAACATTGTACCAATATGAAATTTTTATCATTTTTGTGAGACAGATAGAGCTTTCTTTTGGTGGTATTTAATCACCTCTGTGATTTTTCTTTTTTCTTAAAACAAACCAAAAACCACTGAAAATTTTGAAAAAAAAAGTTTTTCTTAGTTTTTGTTATACAATTTTGTAAATAAGTGATTTTTTCTCCTTCACTGATGTGCGCTAATGAGGCTGCAGTGATGGGCACTGATAGGCTGCACTGATGGGCACTGATAGGTGGCACTGATGGGCACTGATGAGGAGGCACTGGTAGGTTGCACTTATGGACACTGACAGGCATCACTGATGGGCACTGAAAGGCAGCGCTGATACATGACACTGATATATGGCACTGATATATGGCACTGTTAGGCGGCACTGACTGGCACTGTTAGGCAGCACTGACTGGCACTGTTAGGCGGCACTGACTGGCACTGATAGGCGGCACTGACTGGCACTGATAGGCGGCATTGACTGGCACTGCTAGGCGACACTGACTGGCACTGATAGGTGGCACTGATTGGCAGTACTGATAGGTGGCACTGATTGGCATTGATAGGTGGCACTGACTGGCACTGATGGGTGACATTGAAAGGCAGCTCAGATGGCACTGATATGTGGCATTGATGTGCACTGGTAGGCACTGATATGTGGCATTGATGTGGCACTGATGGGCACTGACACGTGGCACTGATGAGCACTGACTGCTGGCACTGATGGACACTGACAGGTGGCACTTCTGGGGCCACACAGATCATCAGGGCACACTGATAATCAGTGCCCTGATGATCAGTGTACATGTCCCCTCCGCGGAAAGCCGATTACCGGTTCTCCTCACCTCTCGAGCTGTCAGCGTGACAGCTCGAGAGCCGAGAAATGCCGATAAACGGCATTTCTGTGTTTAAATGTGATCAGCTGTGATTGGACACAGCTGATCACATGACTGAGCTGACATCTTCGGTTCTTTCCATGATCCACTGTGCCTGAGGGACACAGCGCACCGGCGATCGCCACACTGCGCGCTGCCTGAGCCACGCATGCGCGGTGAGAATGAAAGGACGTCATATGACCTATCAGAACGAGAGAACCACCTTGCGCCCGTCATACTATATGGTGGGCGCAAGGTGGTTAAACTAGTATGTGCAATAATTATTGGAGAGGCATTTAGTACTATATACTTATACATTATATATAGCTCTACTGTATCTATCTATCTCTCTCTCTCTATCTCTCTCTCTCTCTATCTATCTATCTATCTATCTATGTATCTATCTATCTATCTATCTATCTATCTATCTCTACCTAATCTTTTAACTTCATCTACTGTACTTGCTTTCGGCACAGTCCTTTCAGTAAGCAGAATGCAAGGAAGTATTTCATGGGGTCAAGTTTAGGTTCGGGCTAAAGCTTAAAGTTTAGTTCCACTTTTGCTGCCAGGTTCAGATAACAAATAATTTATATTTGCACAATCACAATGTTTTTATATTTACATATAAATTATTAAAAAAAAATCTGCAAAAAATGCTAAGGGAAGAAGGGAATGCTAATAAAAACTAATTTAATTTGTGATTGCTAAAGCATACACCACTAAAATTTAGGCTGGCAATAGATGGATCGAAATTCGGCCAGTTCAGCAGGGACCAGTTGAATTTCGATCCATCTATGGGCAGGCTGGTTGCACAGAAGTCGATCTCGCAGTGCTATTGAGTGTATTCTGTATGGTAGGGAAGCCACTCCACTGTCAGAATACAATACTTCCGCGAGAGGGATGTGTGGATAGGCGGATCAATTCATTTTCTTTCGTTCAACCCGCTGGTTGAACAAAAAAAAATGAATCATGTATGGCCTGCTTTAGTTAAGCTTAGTTTAGCTGATGCGAATAAATCAATGATTGGTTTCATCATTAGTAATGAGAAAATTCCAAGGAGCAAAATTCTAACTGTGAATGTGGTTTTCTTTTAGTTTAAATAGTACATGTGCTTATTCTAGACACAAAAGAAACATGTTTGATATGTCTGGGATCCATTCAAGTTGCATATTTGGAGGGAATTTTAACCCCTTCCAGCCCAAGGGTAAAACAAATGTTAACGCCTAAGCACAATTTTGCAATTTTGACATGTGTTAGTAAAACCGTACATATCATCACAGCTACTTTGCACATCCAGGTGGATTATACCTTGTTTTTTTACGGACAAATGGGGCTTTGATTTGGTGGTAAATAGTAATGGATATCTCCTGATTTTAATTTTTTTATTATCCACGGAGAATTGACACAAAATAGTATAAAACATTTTTTATTTTGATAAATATAGCTGTATATTTCTTGCTACTACCATAACCTACCACCAAAGAACAACCCAAAATAAATTACACTGCTCCTGATGATTGCAGCAATATTACATATGTGTATGTTAGTTGTTGTATGTACCTGTAGTACAGCCCAGAAACAATAATGCACTTTTTTCTTTTTCTTTTTTATCCTACCTAAAACACACTGACACTGATACTAATTAAAAAAAAATCCTGCTCCTCCCAAAAAAATTATTCTTACCTTTGACCCTGACCTTGACCTAACATAGCACTGACTTAGATCAAACCTCGATCTAGGTATTTTTATTTTATCTATCTATCTATCTATCTATCTATCTATCTATCTATCTATCTATCTATCTATCTATCTATCGTATCTGTCTCTCTGTCTGTCTATATCTATCTATCTATCTATCTATCTATCTATCTACCTATCTCTTTGTATCCTATCTATCCATAGCTTTTTTTAGCTGGAACTTGGTGGAACTCAGTTCCACCACCTCTGGCTCAGGCCCTCTGCTCCCTGCTCACCACTATCGCTTGTAAACACAGAAGTCCGGTTTCTGTTTTTACAAATGACAGCTTGTCTCCAATGACTCCCACAGATCTTCTGAGTGGCTCCCCCTGAGTGCAGGATGGGGACAAGGGAGATGCAGGTGCCCAGGGTGCAGTACAGATGCCCCCACTGGATGATCTCCTTGTGAGAGAGGCAGAACCACCTATAGTGTACGGGGAGGTACTAGAGCCGGTTGGGTGCTTCAGCTTAATACAGCAACAAAAGTAAGTCATGTGGAAGATGGTGGAGCTTTTAAGGAGGGGGGGGAGGGGGCAGCTGTGGAAGAAGGATGAACTCTGCACCCTGTGTGTAGCACACCCCTGAACTCTGCACTCTGTATGTACTGCACCCCTGAACTCTGCACTCTGCATGCAGTGCACCCCTGAACTCTGCACTCTGTATGTTCTGCACCCCTTAATGCTGTACTCTGCATGCAGCGCACCCCTGAACACTGCACTCTGTATGCAGCGCACCCATGATCTCTGCACTCTGTATTTTCTGCACCCCTTAACTCTGCACCCCTGAACTCTGCACTCTGCATGCAGCGCACCTGTGAACTCTGCACTCTGTGTGTAGCGCACTCCTGAACTCAGCACAATGTATGTAGCACACTCCCAAACTCTGTACTCTGTGTGTAATGCACTCCTGGTATTTAATTCATCTTTAGGACCCTCACACTGTTGATCACACCAGGGGCGGACTGACCATTTGGAAACTCGGGCACTGCCTGAGGGCCCGGGGTCAGTAGGGGGCCCCATGAGATGCCCCTGGTACCTTTTTAATATGCATTTTTGAGTTTGGGCAAGGACACAGGGGCCCCATGATCCCCTATTGCCCGGGGGCCCCATGAGTTGTCAGTCCGCCCCTGGATCACACCCACTATTTGATGCAGTCCAGAGTGTGTGTGTGTGTGTGTGTGTGTGTGCGAGGGTCGGGGGGAGGGGTTAGGGGGGTCGTGGTCGAGCTCCTACACAAATTTTCTGAGAGAAAAAGCCATCTATCTATCTATCTATCTATCTATCTATCTATCTATCTATCTACCTACCTACCTACCTACCTACCTATCTATCTATCTATCTATCTATCTATCTATCTATCTATCTATGTATCTATCTATCTATGTATCTATCTCTCTATCTATCTATCTATCTATCTATCTATCTATCTATCTATCTATCTATGTATTCTGCTTTAACAATGAGTTTAATCAAGTGATCTACAAATTTGCATAGTAGGCAACTGTTTATCCCTGGGTTCTCAATTAATGTGAAGTACTCGAATAATTAAAGTGCTGAGACTTGGTAATGTAGTCAACAGCATTGCTGCAAGTCCTCTCATTCCTGTGCATTGTTAATCAGGATTCAGACAAGTACAGAACAAACATGCGGCCCCCTGCCCCACACTGCGCAATAATGTCATTCCAAATTCAAGTAGCTGGGTCAGCTCACAAGTGCCTGTCACTGTCAAGCCACACGAAGCCGCAAAGTCCTGATGAAGCTTACCTGCAAAATTAATTCATTAAAATTAATTATACAAACTAAATCTCAAGCTAAGTCCAGATATTAAGGACATGTAAAAAACACTTTTTTCTTTTCTGCAGGCAATCTGGTTTGTCAGCTGTAACCATCTGTACTCACATAGAAGCTTTGCACATATGCTATATTTTCCCATGCTGCTTCTGGTTCTTTGTGACAGATGGAAGACTTTTGGGTGAACATCTTACGTCTGTCAGGTTGTAAACCTGGTGAGGTTATGGCAGAGTTTGGTGAATAAGAGGGACACATGGTGGCATTTTAGCACTGAACACAAAATTGTATTTGTGTGATGGGAAAATGTGCGTTGTATAGAGTCAGAGCCAAATTTTTACAGGTGTGCTTATGAGACATACATCTAAGTTCAGAAGGGTAGTATAATAAGACACACAGCTTTAACCGGTTCTTTCCCACTAGATTCACCTTCCTTTCTTCAGCCGAACAGTTTTCAGGTTTTGGCAATGTGATTTTTAGGAATGCCTAGGATTCATGAATTTTATGAATCACAAAATTTTGGACAAAACGTTTGCAGGTTTGCCACCAGAAGTAAGAAACAACATATAATACAGTGCAGATTCTTTTGCCTGGTCAGCCGAGTTTCAAGAGCCAATCATTTAAAGGAATGGATAGCCAATCCCCCTCATTATAACAGGCAGCCAGGGGCGGACTGACCATTTAGAAACTCGGGCACTGCCCGAGGGCCCAGGGTCAGTAGGGGGCCCCATGAGATGCCCCTGGTACCTTTTTCATAGGCTTTTTTGAGTTTGGGCAAGGACACAGGGGCCCCATGATCCCTTATTGCCGAGGGCCCCATGAGTTGTCAGTCTGGCCTTGCAGGCAGCCATATTGTCATTGTGGGTTGGAACTTTTAGGGAGAGCTGACAATTCTGTACAGGGGGAGATGCCGTATTTATTTAATTTATTTTTATTTTGACATTAGCCCATGTCCTCCATGGTTGTGCTTAGCCCCCCCAAGCCTTATGTTGACAATAGTATGCTAATTAGCCATACAGGTGTCCATAAATTAATAATAGGATTACCCCCCCCCCCATAGAATTCAGTGAGGGTCGCTGCAATATTTGCTAACTTCAAGCAATATTTGTAAAACTGTTCATGGACCAAACCCAGGCAAATTCACTTATCCTTGTGAGTTTTTTTTATTCTTGCTCATGAGTCAAGATGATAACATTTGGATTGGTAAAATGGTAGTGTAACCAGAAAGGTGACAGATGCTGGATATACTGTATACCATATAAATATCAAAAGACATGCTATCAAAAAAAATGTCACATCTATGGGCAGTCTGCTTACTCTGCACACAACCTGGCCAACCAATCTCAGGTGAGGAATGAGCTGTATAATTGATTTTTCTTGGCTTACTGGTTTTGGTCTCCTGAGATAATCCTGGCAAGTGAAGTGGAGCATATACAGGCATATTTGGCTTACACAACCATGTTTTATGCCACAGTTGTTCTAAAAACATATGCAGCGCTACCCTCGCAGTGGCCGATTGATAATGCTTGTCCCCAGTGGTTGCCCTGACCTTGCAAGTCTCCCAATATCTCTGACACTCTTGGCCCAGACATTTTTCAACAGTATGAAATGATAATGCAAGAGGCACAATTCTTTAGTAACCCCTCTATATTAGGCTTGTTCAAAAGAGTAGACTACAGAATGAAGGTTTAGGAGGTACATCCCAAGTTAACGTATAAAAGCAAAACACTGATAAAATAGAAACAACCAAATAGCAAAGGTTAACAGATTATTTGGTCACAAATAGGGGGGGGGGGGAGAGAAAAGGCTTGTTGACTTATCTCCCAATATCTCTGACACTCTTGGCCCAGACATTTTTCAACAGTATGAAATGATAATGCAAGAGGCACAATTCTTTAGTAACCCCTCTATATTAGGCTTGTTCAAAAGAGTAGACTACAGAATGAAGGTTTAGGAGGTACATCCCAAGTTAACGTATAAAAGCAAAACACTGATAAAATAGAAACAACCAAATAGCAAAGGTTAACAGATTATTTGGTCACAAATAGGGGGGGGGGGGGGGAGAGAAAAGGCTTGTTGACTTATCAGCTCTCTCTCGGCCACTGACAAATGAAAAGAATTATGGAAAAAAAAAAAAAAAATAATAATAAAAAAAAAATGAGACAAAGATAAATAATTTCAGAGATTTGATCACCTTTAATGTGACCTATAAACTTTACAAATTTAACAACAAACTAAAATCTTTTAGGTGGAGGAAAGTAAAAATACAAAAATATGGTTGCATAAGTGTGCACACCCTCAAACTAATACTTTGTTGAAGCACCTTTTGATGTGATTCCAGCACTCAGTCTTTTTGGGTATGAATCTATCAGCGTGGCACATCTTGACTTGACAATATTTGCCCACTCTTCATTGCAAAAACACTCCAAATCTGTTAGATTGCAAGGGCATCTCCTGTGCACAGACCTCTTCAGATCACCCCACAGATTTTCAATCGGATTCAGGTCTGGGCTCTGGCTGGGCCATTCCAAAACTTTGATCTTCTTCTGGGGAAGCCATTCCTTTGTTGATTTGGATGTATGCTTTGGGTCGTTGTCATGCTGAAAGATGAAGTTCCTCTTCATGTTTGGCTTTCTAGCAGAAGCCTGAAGGTTTTGTGCCAATATTCACTGGTATTTGGAACTGTTCATAATTCCCTCTACCTTGACTAAGGCCCCAGTTCCAGCTGAAGATAAACAGCCCCAAAGCATGATGCTGTCACCACCATGCTTCACTGTGTGTATGGTGATGTGCAGTGTTGTTTTTGGAATCTTTTGAAATTATGGCCAAAAAGTTCAACCTTAGTTTCATCAGACCATAACACATTTCCCACATACATTTGGGAGACTTCAGATGTGTTTTTGCAAAATTTAGCCGAGCTTGGATATTTTTCTTTGTAAGAAAAGGCTTTTGTCTTTCGTCTTGCCACTCTACCCCATAGCTCAGACATATAAAGAACAGGGAAGATAGTTGTTACATGTACCACACAGCCAGTACTTGCCAGATATTACTGCAGCTCCTTTATTGTTGCTGTAGGCCTCTTGGCAGCCTCCCAGACCAGTTTTCTTCTCGTCTTTAAATCAATTTTGGAGAGACGTCCAGTTCTTGGTAATGTCACTGTTGCGCCATATTTTCTCCACTTGATGATGACTGTCTTCACTGTGTTCTAATGGTATATCTAATGCCTTGGAAATTTTTGTGTACCCTTCTCCTAACTGATACCTTTTAACAATGAGATCCCTCTGAAGCTTTGGAAGCGTTCTGAGGACCATGGCTTTTGCTGGAGGATGCGACTAAGAAAATGTCAGGAAAGACCTACTAGAACAGCTGGACTTTATTTGGGGTTAATCAGAAGTACTTTAAATGATGGCAGGGTGTGTACTGACTCCTATTTAACATGATTTTGAATGTGGTTGCTTAATTTGAAACACAGCTACATTCCCAGTTATAGGAGGGTGTGCACAATTATGCAACCACATTATTTTAGTTTTTTATGTTTACTTTTCCCCCTAAGAAATTTCCATTTGTTTTTCAATTGAGTTGTACAGTTTATAGGTCACATTTTATGGTGGAAAAAGTTCTGAAATTATTTATCTTGTCTCATTTTTTTACATCACAGAAACCTGACATTTTAACAGGGGTGTGTAGACCTTTTATATCCAATAATGGCATAAATGGGTATAGACACCCTAATTTAATAACAATGGCTTAGATGCAAAGAGATCCCTTTAGCTAGAAATAGCAACTTGGGTTCTAAGATGTTTAAAGTCCCTGATGTGAAAAGATAGCAACCGTTGTCTTCTGCTAGCAACGGTGGGGTCCATATACAGCGAGTAATGGTAATTCAATGAAGAAAACATATGTGGTAAATGCTCAAAGCAAGGATCTCTTGGTACTGAGGTGTAAAGGTGTCTGCATGCAGTGTCTGTAGAGTGTTGTCAGAAAGAGGTTGGGCATCTGCCCGCTCACCAATCCCATGGACAGAACAGCCTTCTAGGTACAGGGTTCTTGTACAAGCTTTTGGCTGTTCGCAGACAAGTGTCAAATTACTGTCTGACAGCCTGTCAGCGCAGCAAGCAGGGATGACTGACTGAAGACTGGATAGTGACAGTCTCAATGCAGAGAAGCTGATAAGATCCCAGTGAAATGATCAGCGTCAATGCCGTGTTGAACTGCTATACAGAGTCCAGCAGTAGTTGCCAGCAATCTGTCTCTGGAGGAATAAAGCAGTTCCCCTGTATTCAACTCTGAATCCTGCTCCAAGAGAGTGAGCCAGTTCCTTGCTTTGGAATATATATCTGCTCTCACAGCAACCTTCTGGTCCATCAGCTTTCTGGTAGCTGTAGTTTAATCAGCACTCAGAAATTCAGTATGTATTGGCTAAAGGACTACAGGCCCCAGGATCCTCTGCTGTCAGAAGAACTGAATCCACTTTGCTAACATGAAGTGATGTAGAAGTCCCAGTACTGGGCAATAGGGGAAAAAGGATTAACCACAGTCTCATCTGTAAATGTCCCAGAATGGCATAATGATATAGCCATCACCTGGCTACATATATTTGATCAGCTGTCATCTCATGTCATTGTTCAACTTAAAGTTCCAGCCAGACCTTTTAGCAAATATCTTTAACTGGGGTGTCTTGTGATTCGTTTATTATACAAATATTGCGCTCACTCAAAAAGTCAACTAAGGAGGCAATTATGTACATAGGCACCCTCTTTGCTGACATTCTGGGCACTGGAGGTGTCAAAGACCTGGAACTCTAAAACATCTTCCCTTCCCTTTTTGGGGGAATCCCTATGAAAGAACCCTTGAATGCTGGAGTTCCAGGCTGGTTAGCTCTGGGGAAGGGGGCTGTTTATTTTTTGTTTGTCACTTTTATATACCTATTGGGGATTGAGCTGAAGAGGGAGCTACATAGATGTTGGTAAAACTAAGGAAGGTTGCACAATAAGGTAGGAATATGTATGGCCCATTAATTTACAAGGCAAATCGACCAATAAACCTGATAAATACACCTGATTGTGAAAGTCCCAGTAAATTTACTTTAAAGTGTATTTCAATCCAAAAACTTTTATTTTTTATTTTTTTATTTTTGGATAGTGTGGGGCAGGGGTGGACTGACCATTTGGAAACTCAGGCACTGCCTGAGGGCCCGGGGTCAGTAGGGGGCCCCATGAGATGCCCCTGGTACCTTTTTCATATGCTTTTTTGAGTTTGGGCAAGGACACAGGGGCCCCAGGATCCCCTATTGCCCGGGGGCCCCATGAGTTGTCAGTCCACCCCTGGTGTGGGGAAGCGTTCAGGGTAAAGTAAGAGTCACTTTATACCCCACCTCTCTACCAATATGTGCTCATCCTGTCTAGTGTATTTGGATTTTTCTTCGCCTTTTAAGCTCCATTGCCCATGAACTAGCATGTGCCCTAAGTGACAGAGAGTTCCACTTTGCCTCTTAGGCATCTCGTATTGATATATTGCTTTGTGATCCTCAATAAAACGTTCCAACTGTCACAGCTGTAGAGTGTATTGGATGGCATTACCAGTTCCCGGACTGATTTTACCTGTTGGTTTGAATTGCTTGATCCAGCTCAGTTTAGTAGATACTGTCCCTTTAATTTTCTTGGCTGCTGATGCGGATAGGATTGTCCATCGGAGGTTTATTGTCCCATTAGCATTTCCACTCCATCCTGATATTTTAATGTCATGTCTGTGGGGGGCCTGCAAAGAGGTGCTCAGCTAATCAAGGCATTATGCTGCTTTAATATGCATTGTTTTTCTGTCGCATCAAGTGCCTCAAAATCAAAATGGAGATAAAAAAATCACACAAATTGTAAAAAAATAAAAGAAAAAGAAAGAAATTTGTCAAGCCACTTTATGAAAAAAAAACACATTATAATGAAGACAAAATATGGAGACTCATGATGGACTGCTGAGTGTTGAGCAAATATGGATGCCATGATAGGCACTTCCTGTACGCTCAGTCCTCTGACAACAACCTGTTATGGTATTATATGCTTAGACTACATGCAAAGGCTCCTGTGTGACAGTGTAAACAGGTCCCAATCAAATCCTTGTGATTATTATTATTATACAGGATTTATATAGCGCCAAGAGTTTGCTCAGCGCTTTACAATATAACAGGAGACAATACAGCAACAATACAGTTCAATACAAGAGGGATAGGAGGGCCCTGATCCCTGGAGCTTACAATCTAGGAGATCCAATAGCCTTTTAACCGCCTCCCCGGCCGCCATATAGTGTAATGACAGGCGCAAGGAGGTTCTGGGAGGATGTCATAGGACTTCGTCCCTTGGACACAGCGGATCACCGATCAATGGAAAGAGCCGAAGATGTCGGCTCAGTCATGTGATCAGCTGTGTCCAATCACAGCTGATCGCATGTAGAATGGGAAATGCCGGTTATCGGCATTTCTCTCCTCACGAGTTGTGACGCTGACAGCTCATGAGGAGTGGAGAGCCGGTAATCAGCATTGCTCAGAGGGGACATGTACACTGATCATCAGGGCACTGATGTTCAGTGTGCGCTGATGATCTGTGTAGCCCCAGCAGTGCCACCTGTCAGTGTCCATCAGTGCCAGCTTCAGTGCTCATCCATGCCACTTGCCAGTGCCACATCAATACCACATATCAGTGCCCATCTGAGCTGCCTTTCAGTGTCACCCATCAGTGCCAGTCAGTGTCACCTATCAATGCCAGTCAGTGCCACCTATCAGTGCTGCCAATCAGTGCCGCCTATCAGTGCCAATCAGTGCTGCCTATCAGTGCCGCCTAACAGTGCCTGTCAGTGCCACCTAACAGTGCCAGTTAGTGCCGCCTATCAGCGCTAGTCCGTGCCGCCTATCAGTGCCGCCTATCAGTGCCATATATGAGTGCTGCCTTTCAGTGCCCATCAGTGATGCCTGTCAATGCCCATCAGTGCCACCTACCAGTGCCTCCTCATCAGTGCCCATCAGTGCCACCTATCAGTGCCTATCAGTGCAGCCTATCAGTGCCCATCACTGCAGCCTCATTAGCGCACATCGGTGAAGGAGAAAAACCACTTATTTACAAAATTTTATAACAAAAACTAAGAAAAAACTTTTTTTTTACAAAATTTTAAGTGGTTTTTGGTTTCTTTAAGAAAAAATAAAAAACCCAGAGGTGATTAAATACCACCAAAATAAAGCTCTATCTGTCACAAAAAGTGCTAAAAATGTCATATGGGTACAGTGTTGCATGACCGCGCAATTTTCATTCAAAGTGCGACAGCGCTGAAAGCTGGAAAATTGCCCTAGGCAGGAAGGGGGTATAAGTGCCCTGTAGGCTAGTGGTTAAAGGCATAGTCTGCTTTGTTAATAAAACGATCCATGGGGTTGATTTATTAAAAGTGGAGAGTGAAAAATCTGGTGCAACTCTGCAAAGAAACCAAACAGCTTTGTTTTATACATAGCAGAAAGTAGAACTTTTTTTTATTTTAATTGTTGGTCTTTTTCAGCCAGTTCCCACAAAGTGTCAGTTAGTGCCAGATTGCCCACCACACTATCACAGTCCCAATATAAGCCGCTGATCACCGCCATTACTAATATTAAATAAATAAATATTTCAGTATATATACCCTTGTTTGTAGATGCTATAACTTTTATGCAAACCAATTAATATACACTTATTGAGATTTTTTGTTACCAAAGACGTAGCAGAATACATTTTGGCCTAATTTTCTGAAGAAATTTGATTTCTTAAATTTTTTTATTGGATATGTTTTATACATAGCAGAATGTAGAACATAGTTTTTTTTTAATTGTCGGTCTTTTTCACACAGTGGTGATCAAATACCACCAAACGAAAGCTCTATTTGTGTGAAAACAATGACAACATTTTCAAATGTGTACAGCGTTGCATGGCCGTGCAATTGCCAGTTAAAGTAGCGCAATGGTGAATAGTAAAAAATGGCCTGCTCGTGTAGGGAGTAAAATCTTCTAAATTTTTGACGAACAGGGCTGCTTTAAATTTATACAAGATCTTCGGCCATAGAATTGTATAACCTCTGAATAAGATTCTGAATAAGATTCACCAGTGACCTTTACTACAATCCTTATATTTACAGTGGGGATCGAAAGTTTGGGCACCCCAGCTAAAAATTTGTATTAATGTGCATAAAGAAGCCAAGGAAAGAGGGAAAAATCTCCAAAAGGCATCAAATTACAGATTAGACATTCTTATAATATGTCAACAAAAGTTAGATTTTATTTCCATCATTTACACTTTCAAAATAACAGAAAACAAAAAGACGTGACGTCTGCAAAAGTTTGGGCACCCTGCAGAGTTAATATCTTGTACTGCCCCTTTTGGCAAGTATCACAGCTTGTAAAGCTTTTTGTAGCCAGCAAAGCGTTTTCAGATGTCAATATCCTCTGTTCAGAATGTAATTAAGAAATGGCAGTCATCAGGAACAGTGGAAGTTAAAGCAAGATCTGGAAGACCAAGAAAAATATCAGACAGAACAGCTCGCAGGATTGTGAGAAAAACAATTCAAAACCCACGTTTGACAGCACGATCCCTGCAGAAAGATCTGGCAGACACTGGAGTTGTGGTACACTATTCCACTATAAAGAGATACTTGTACAAATATGGTCTTCATGGAAGAGTCATCAGAAGAAAACCTCTTCTACGTCCTCACCACAAAAATCATCGTTTGAACTTTGCAAATGAACATATAGACAAGCCTGATGCATTTTGGAAACAAGTTCTGTGGATCGATGAGTTTAAAATTGAACTTTTTGGCCTGAATGAGCAAAGGTACGTTTGGAGAAGAAGGGGCACAGAATTTAATGAAAAGAACCTCTGTCCAACTGTTAAGCATGGGGTTGGATCAATCATGCTTTGGGGTTGTATTGCAGCCAGTGGCACAGGGAACATCTCACGAGTAGAAGGAAAAATGAATTCAATAAAATTTCAGCAAATTTTGGATGGTAACTTGATGCCATCTGTGAAAAAGCTGAAGTTAAAGAGAGGATGGCTTCTACAAATGGATAATGATCCTAAACACACCTCGAAATCCACGGGGGATTACATCAAGAGGCGTAAACTGAAGGTTTTGCCATGGCCTTCACAATCTCCTGACCTCAACATAATTGAAAATCTATGGATAGACCTTAAAAAAGCAGTGCGTGACAGACAGCCCAGAAATCTCAAAGATCTGGAAGACTTTTGTAAGGAAGAATGGGCAAAGATACCTCAAACAAGAATTGAAAGACTGTTGGCTGGCTACAAAAAGCGATTGCAAGCTGTGATACTTGCCAAAGGGGGCAGTACAAGATATTAACTCTGCAGGGTGCCCAAACTTTTGCAGACGCCATTTTTTTGTTTTCTGTTATTTTGAAAGTGTAAATGATGGAAATAAAACCTAACTTTTGTTGACATATTATAAGAATGTCTAATCTGTAATTTGATGCCTTTTGGGGATTTTTCCATCTTTCCTTGGCTTCTTTATGCACATTAATACAAATTTTTAGCTGGGGTGCCCAAACTTTCGATCACCACTGTAGATTATTTCATCCTCCTCAGCAGCTACTGTATGCACCATTTTTGCAACATTTCCAATATGGCTGCTATGTGACACACATGCACACACCAAGCACTGGTCAGTTCATGCCATGTTTTTTCTGATCTGCAGGCCTTTATGTCACATTATAGAGAAGCGGAGAAGACATGGAAGGGATAGAAAATTATGGCTCTTGGCAATAAACGCAGCGTGACAGCACACTGGCGGGATCATCCGACACGCAGTATCATTGGTGACATTTTCTCCTCATGATCTTTCCTATAACACTGTGAAAGCTGACTCTTGTCTGAGTCTCAGGACACTGTCGTTACCTGACCCTAGGCTTGTGGCATCAGCAAGATTGAGGCTTGACTTGGTATCAGGTGGTGTTGTGCACACAGCCACAAGCTCCGGGCTACTGATCTGTCTTTCTCAGTCTTCAGTGAATATATCCGAGTCACAGTGTCTGCAGATTGTTCTAGAATGCTACAAACTCTGAAGAGAGATGAAAGCATGTGTCCAGGCGGTTTAACAAACAGCTTAAAGATGTTAATGGTTTCACTGAAGGAGTAGATGTAATGTATTTTATAAGTCAATTTCCAGAAGAGATCTGACTTTTCTTTGCAGGCTCTAGATAAGTTAATTCACACTTGCTATTTCTTCTGTGGATTGTTAAAAAATGTCCTCCTGAAAACCATTTCTATTGTTTTTTAATGTTTAAAACTCTAAAACGTTTCTGAAGTTAAGAGGCAATAATTATCCAAAGTGCTCAGGATTCCTGTAGATAACTTTGACAATCTGCTTATACAACTAGTATTGAAAAGCAGCCAACACCGTCAGTCTAACTATATTCAAAGTTTTATTGATGTCCAACAGGGCCAATAATTCAGGCTCAGAAGAAATATAAAAAGAGGTAAAAATTATTCAAAGCCCCGCAACTACGTAAGGTGAAAGCCTCCACGTACATAATAATTGGTGTGGCGGTGAAGCTGTGGAATGGCTGGCATCCAGGTGCACCTCATACTGTAGCGATAATTCCCATTGGCAAGTACTGGTGTTGGTATCCTCAGACTAGGGCCGCATGCACTGCACATCCCCGCCATCTTGACCCATGATGTAGGCTTCCTGGGTTGGATCCCGTTTAGCTTCCGGTGGCGCCCTTGGAGACCAGAATTGTTTACATCCAGGGCTTCACTTCCGTTTTGTGTGGCCCTAGTCTGGGGATACCAACACCGGCCAATGGGAATTATGCTTTACAGAGTTTGGCGCCGGACTCTATTAGACATTTTTGTTCTAAATTTAGGAGATCTGTTCTTGCAATTGAGATACCCAAATAACAAAAAATAGAAAAATAAAAATAGTTTTAGACTCAACCAGACCTCCCCTCACAAGACCCGATCTTCTAATATGTATCCAGACATTGCATTATACAAGCCAACCTAAAGCATAATAATCAAAAACACACATAAAGACAAAAGCATTAAAAACAAAGTAACATCGTCCATTCCAGCTTATTATACTATAGATTACTGCAAATCATGATGCGTGTGTATACAATCAGTAGGGGTAGACTCAAACCGAGCAATCTTGGGATTTTGTATATAACAAAGTTATAGTCCAGCAAGGAGCAGTCCATGCACAGTCTGCCTCAAGGTCCAGGTTGCACAAATGGATCTATTTCTGGATCAGGTGTGGGAAGCACAGCACATCAGTGAACACAGCCGCTTCTTTCCCCCATCCACAGCCGCTTCTTTCCCACATCCTCCGCCGCCGCTGTTATAACAGAAGAGCAGACAGCAGGAGGCAGAACATTTCTGGAGCGAGTATGGAACAACAGCACAGTATGGAACAACAGCACAGTATGGAACAACAGCACAGTATGGAACAACAGCACAGTATTGAACAGAGTGCAGGAGTATTTCTGGATCGGATGCGGGAAGCGTGGGAGCTGCCAGGGTTAACTTTTTGTATTGACCAGCAGGTGATTGGCTGCTAGGACCGTCCTGCTTCCAATCAGCTGCTGGTTAACTTAAAAAGTTAACCCTGGCAGCTCCTGCACTCTATTCAATGCTTTGCTTCCCACATCCGAACCAGAAATGCTATGACAGCTTGCGTTACAGCGATCTGTTAAAAACTGTGCTGTTATTCCACACTCGCTCCAGAAATGTTCAGTCTCTTGCTGTCCACTCTGCTGTTATAACAGTGGTGGAGGATGGGGGGAAAGAAGCAGCTCCTAAATGAAGTGACCGGGTCCGGATGAAACAGTGGCTAGGTCCGC